CTAGACTCTTAAAATTAACAATGACTACTATCTATATATTCAGTGGTCCATCACCGAACACATATACCTCATATTTTCCACTCCACAGAACTATATTGCATTCAGTCAACCTCTCTTAATTCACATATTTTCTGCTAAATGTATTCTAAAATTGACCCCTACAATGTTCTCTAACGACTTTTTAATATTAGTTCCCTATTTTCTACTAATACCTCCACCACCTCCACAACCATGCAACAAATAATTGGAGTCAGTCCTGTGCTTACACTGATTAGTGCATCTAATCCTCCGGAATCACAGATGATCAAACTTGTCCATGGCCACTCAGCTAGTAAGGGACACACATAGACACCGGGCTCCAAACATGAGGACTATTTGTATTAGTATTCTCTCCCTTGTTCGTTGACTTTTGTACACACGTACACATGGTTGGGAGTGGGGAACGCTCTTTCTCCCCACTCCCAACCCTTATTTACCTGCCGAATTCCTACTGATTGTTTAAGGCTCAACTTAAGGGCAATCTCCTCCATGAAGCATCTCAGGTTTTCTCTGCTCTCTCCCCTGTTTGGGTGGGATGCCCTTGCCCTGGGCTGCATTACCAACTGTGCCTTTATCTCCTCCCTGCTTTCCCTGAAAGACAACTTGTTAGTTGACTCCTCTCTCTCTCTCTCTCTCTTTTACAGAGCTGTAGGCTCCTCCACAGCATGATTGGGTCTGAGTCTTGGGATTCTGAGCATTTAGCACAGTGTGTAGCTCGTGGTACATATACAACCAATGCTTGTTCAATACTAAGTCATCCCACTTCTCTGATTTGGTCAAAGGCCTGATGGATGATGTCATCTGACTTAGCAAGACAGACAGATGATTCCCATCATGAGTGATGCAGGCTATCATTTCCCCACCTTTTCATGAACTCATTCTAGCTCACTAGGTTTACACTGGAACAAGTAGTTACCACTAATTGAGGAACTGCCACTTCTCAGACACTGGGGTATATGCTTCACTCGTATCACTGCCAAGTTGACATAATGATTTATATTCATTTCATGAAGAAGTTATCTTAAGTAACTGGCCTACAGTCACATAGTAGGCAGGCTTTGTTATAAAAACGGTATAAAATGCCCTATCACATGGAGTCTTCCCTGTCCTGGAGAGATTCATTAGTTATTTGTGAAAATTACTTACAGGCCAAAAAACAAAAACTATGTTAATTTGATGCTAGAACACTAAATAGTAAATTCCTAGAATAGTAAAAGTGTGGTCAGCTAGGATTTTGAGAGGCTCCAAGGCAGTTCTACCATATGCATCTATCCATGGCAAATCATGCCTGCAGTCCTTATCAGACAGATGGAGATTATTACATCTATGTACCTAAAAGGGGGTTGAATATCATATGAGATCATAGCTGCCAAAGTGCTTTGTGAAGGAAGAGGACAGAGGCTCATTTTAGGGCAGTGTGCTGGACAGTTTCACAGCAGTGGGAGACCCTAGGGATCAGAGCTACCCGAGATGTTGTTTAACAGCAGATGAGGGAAGCTTGACTGGGAATCCACATTTATGACAAGAAGCCCCTAAATGATTCTCTGGGACACTAAAGTTTGAGAAATAACAGGTTACAGCAGAGCTTCTCAAATGTTAACATACACATGGGGATCTTGTTAAAATGCAGATTTGAATTCAGTGGGTCTGGAAGAGAGTAGCAGGCAGGCTAAAATTTTGCATTTCTAATAAGCTCCCAGGGGAGGCCACGCGCTACGGGTCCATGGACCACGTTTGAGTGGCAGGGGCTTGGAAGATCTATCCCCACTGGAACAAATTAGATTTGCTTTGTTTCTGATTGCACCCCCCAACTTCAGAGAGTGTTTTCCATAAAGCCCAGGGTCTTAGTATTCGTATAAAATTACTTGAACTACTCAAAGCCAAATTGAAATATACTTCCTATCACAAGTAAAGCAGCACCATTCTTTTTAGATAGGGATAGCATACGTTTAGCATGTGAAAGAATAATTTATTACTACTGAGTGAGTCTTATTTAAAAGTGTGCAAAGCATGTTATATACATTATCTCTAATCTCCACCCTGCCCCTAAAAATGTGGATATTCCTGTTCTGTAGATAAGGAAATGGTGACTTAAGTAACTTGGTCAAGGTCACACAGCTAGTTAGGTGTTACCGCAGGGATTCTGATCTTGCTCCATCAGGATCCAAAGCCCATGTGTCCTCTGAACTCCCTCAGAGTGCTAGATATGATTGTGATATGAAATGTATCAGCTTGGGAATCAAGAAAAAAGCAGGGGGAAAGTTTTTTGCGTTTAAGGCTCTGCTGAGGCAGATTGTGAATGGTGGTGGGGTTGGGGGATAAGGTTCGTTAGTGATCCATGTTGCCTCACGGACAAAAACATGCAGATAGCATCCTTACTAATGGTTCCCATAAATCTGATAATGCAGATGGAAAAAAAGGACACTAGTGACCAGCGTGCTGATTAGAAACACGGCCACCTACCCTGAGGCTCAACCAACTAAGAGCAAAAATTCCTCCTGACCCTTGTGGTCTGTCAACTTCCTCACTCTCTTGTATGAGGTTTCCGTAATCTAAGAAGTTCATACCAAACACAGGTTTATCCTTCTATGTTATGGCATGGTTGCCAGACCTCCATACCGCTAATGCTGCTTGCATCTGAAAAAAATGTACTATTTAGTCAAATGCCTTGAAAATGTAGTTATTTTGAAGGCTCTGAGTAACAAAATTTTCTATACTTTTCGTGAGGTTGATGTGGAGATACACACTGCGGTAAAGATGCATAGAGAAAGCGGTCAGATAGTTACCTAGGTGTTCTAAATGGGGGAAAATAGTTACAAAATAAACCATCCAGGCAATTACCACCCAGTGTCTTCAGCATGCAATGATCCACTGGTGGAGGACACAGGGTTGAGGTTTTTTTAACATCAGGTCTCTCCACAAATAGCCCTCTGTAGCTTAACTATTACGTTTTCTAAAGGTTCATCTTTATAAACAGTACAATTACTTCCCTTTGTAATATAAACAGAAACAATTAGAAAGCAACATCTCTTGCAATTAAGATGTATGTACAGTATTAGTATAAAACCAAAGAGTGATATTTGAGCTATTAAGGATTATAAATTGATTTTGTCCCTATGGTATTCTCTACAAAGCGTGTTTCAAAAATAAAGACTGAAATCTAAAAAGATATCTTTGGTTTAAAAACTTAACAGCAGTTTTAGAGAGTGTGTGTGTTTTAAATAGCGGGTATGAAATTGCATCGGGAGCCTAGATTTCAGACTAAGCATTTATTTCACTCCCTAACCCCAAAACAGTTCAGATCTCAGATTCAAACCAAAGGGTCACAGAAACCAATGTGAGATTTTCTGAAGAGACTTCACTGAAATGTATGGACAAAAACATGTTTGCGATGAGTCATATTTCATAGGACCTTAATGGCCAATGAATGTCTTATGTGCCTTTCTTCCTACAATCAGTATCACTCCCAAGCAAGTTGGTGACATATTTTCCAGGCCTTGATAATTTTTATACAGTTACCAGATCTCACTAAGATTCACGAACAAAACCCTTTCTTGTGCTAATTTTTTAAAGCCATCTAAGAGAAGAGAACGCGATTCTTTCCAAACTAACTCTCCCCAACCAGGCAGTTAATGCCCTTCGCCAGCATAAGGGCGCGATACTTTTAAGACCCCAGAGAGAAGCTCAGGTGCTTTGGGGGCACTACAAGTAAAAAGACAGTGGGAAAGGTT